CAGCACAAGGGGAGTTAATGGTTTCAGTGTGGCTGAGAGGTTTGTTTGCTGCAGATGTTTGTGATGCAGCCTCTTGTGAATCCTCCCTGAAGGGCTGGAGAGCCGCGTCTCCTTGGCACTGACGTCAGGGTTGGGTTTCTGCCCATCCTGGTAAACATGGAAAAGGTTTTCCATGTGGCCTTTAGGTGCTGTTTGCACCACTTTTTTTGGAGGTGTCTGATTTAGGTACCATGGGAAGGGTTAAAAAGTATTACAGGTGTAAAAAATATTGCGAAAATTCAATTAAAATTAGGTTAAAAATACCTGAAATCCAAGTCTTGCCTGCACAGGGGCAGCTGCTGCAGAAGACGGAGCAGCTGTGAGGGTGCTTTGTACTGTGTTTCAGTTGGTGCTGGCCTGGATGAGGCCACACATCTCTATGTGAGGGCCACTCCTCTGAATTCCTGGCATCCAGGAAGCAGTCAGCTTAAATACAGCCACGGCTCACATCCTCACCCTGCTTCTCCCTTGGCAAAGTTACCACTCGTCGTGCAGAAATATCAGCCGCCGCCACGACTGCGGCTTTTCCTTCTGAGAAACCACCCCGGCACTCATCACTTACACGCTACTCATCCACCACAGACCCTCTCAAAATCCATCCAGCTGGTGCCTCTGTGGCTCCCACTTCTTTCCAGGGCAGGCAGGAGCTGGACACCTTCCCTGTGGCCACAAATCAGGGGCATGATCTGGATCCTCTTGGTCTGTCCGTTGCGTGTGTCTGGGGATAATTTTCTTGTTGTACCGTTTTCATTAAGCACTGCCAGGGATGCTGTTGGATTCCTCCAGTTCCCATCTTTTCCATTGTGCAGTTCTGGGGAAAGTTGATTTCACTTCTCTTGTTTTTTTCTCCCAGCTCTAAAAAGTAGGATCATTTTGTAGTCAGGAGCTTCAGAAGGATTTTCAGATGCCCTTTGTGTCTCCATAGCAGTTTGCATAGGTGTCCTGACATCTCGCCGATAAATTGCTGCCTTTCCCACTGTTTTTCCCAAGAGACTCCTGCCACAACCCAGCAAAACCAGTCCTTGATTGTGTTCCTTCTAATAACTCTTTGCAAGGAGATTGAAAACTCTGAAAGAATTAAACAAAATCCCGTTTTAAGGCTCCTCTTCCACTGCTGTGACAGCAAGGCACCCCATTCTTTCTGTAGGACTTTGGGAATAGTTCATGGAAATTGTCCCTGGCCTCTCTGTGACCCTGGTGTACAGGGAGTTGAAGTCTCCAATCATCTCTTGGACAAGCACTTCACAAGACTTTTGGACCTATCTCAGAAGAAAAAACAAGGTGTTCAAAGAGAGATGCGTAGCTTGAGTTTGAGCGGGAGACTTTTTTAAAATTGACCATTTTGGTATTATATAAAATGCTGATGTGATTTGAAAGCTCCAAATTACAACATTACCACGCAGCCACATCTCTTTTCTTCTGCCCTCTTCCTTCCTCCTCGCCTCACCACGTATCCCCTTCTGCTTTTGCTTCCCGACTGGTGACTTGGCCGACTTTATCCGGGGCAAAGCCCCCACCCCACCAGCACCCGAGGGCACGGGGTGCTCCTGTGGCCATCCTGGGTGAGTTCCTCACCCAGCCAAGTGTGAAATTTGAAAGATCTGAGTGGAAACACAGAGCAGGGAGATCACCATTGTTTTTTATTGCTTTTTCATGGTACGGCGTGAGGCGTTTTCGCTGATGTGAGAGGCAGCAAAAATAGCGTGGGGAAAAATATAGCTTCAAGAAAGAAATATGTAAATGTTTGAGTAGACTAAAAACCCCCCTGCTTAGTCAGGGGCTTGCACTCTGCTTTCATTCTGGGCTTTTTTTGTGGCTGAGGGGCAAGTGCTCAAGGGAATGAAGGGCGATGTGGGTACAGGAACAAGGCGCGGGGGAGATGTGTGGGGGCTCCAAACGTCGCGCTCCGTCCCAATGGCTGCTTTTAATTAATAATATCGCCCACTGAGCTTGTGGGGAGCATCTGAGAGATGACATCAGCTGTCTCCATGCTCCGCCAGCCGGCTGTGACTGCTGAGGTGTGAATTCCGTGTCGGAGCGTGACCCTCCCTGATAAATAGGGGTGTCGGTACGCCCCGTCCCGCAGAGCGTCTGTGGGGCTGAGCCTTCCCTGAGGATGGGAGCCCCCCTGCTCCCGTGGCTGCTGCTGCTGCTGCTGGTGATGTCCCACTGTGCCCACGCAGGTGAGCTCCGGGTGGCTTTGCTGGCACCGTCCTGGGCCCAGAGCCACTGGGGAGCTTGGGGTGCTCCTGCCTGTTTGGCTGAGGGCTTGCCTTGTTGCCAGGGAAAAAGCACAGCCGTCCTTTGCAGGGGTCTGGTGTAGCCTTTGGGTGCTGTGTGGGAGCAGGGAACAGGTGGCAGCTTGTCACCGTGCTCCCTGCAGTGCTGTCAGTGGAAACATGGGAAGGGGAACTTGCTTTGGCTCCTGGAGCTGCTGCATCCCTGTCAGCTCTGTCTATAAGTTGTTTCCTTCTCTCTCTCTCTCAGCCATCCTGGAGGTGAACGGGAACCTGAGCTGTAGGTGTGCCAAGACAACCTCGGAATACATCAGTCCCAGGAAATACGAGAGCATTGAGATAAGGCCTGTGGGCAGCAGCTGCAGGCGCACGGAGATCATGTAAGTGCCGTGGGCTCTGCTGCTGCCGCCATCCCGCTCCTCCGCCGCCTTGCTGGGATCTAAACTGGTCCAAAAATGCTACCAGCTTACTCGCTGGAAAACATCAGGTGCAGAAAGGCAGGTCTCCAGGGCCTAAAGGAATCTCTCCAGCAGGGGAAAGGGTGATTTCCTGGAGCTGGAGGTGTTTGCAACCTGGAGGAAGCATTTCCTCAGACACTGAGCCATAACCGATTTTCCCAGGTTTTTGTAGCTGCTCGATGTCGTTACGTTTGTAAATCTCCAGAAAAAATTGTCCTTGAGCGATGTTCTGGGCTTCAAGTCTCTGCTTCATGTGTTGTGCCTTGCTTGTTCCCGGCCATGCTGTGGCTTCCTCTGTCTCTGGCAGCTTTCTGCAGTCGCTGGTGCTGTGGGTGAAAGCTGAGCCTTGCCCATCAGCTCTGGCTGCTTGAATCCCTGCCCTTGGAGGGGACAGGAATGCTCAGGAACTCTCCTTGCATTTCAGAATTAAACTAAGAACCTCAGGGAAGGTGTGTGTGAATCCCGAAGCCCCCTGGGTAAAGAAGCTGCTGAAGCGCATTGCCAGCACGTAAGTTGTTGGATGGAAACTCGTTTGGCTCAGGTGTCCCTGGACAGCATCCCAGCACATCCATGGTTCTGGGAAGCTCTCCTGGGCCCAGGAGCTCTCTGCTGCTGTCCAAAGGAGCCACTTCCAAGCGAGGAGGAGCAACACTTGGCTGTGCAAAGCAGCGTTCAGCCCAACATGACCCATCTATGTGTCATGCTCCCCCTGGCTTTGGCACGGTGCTGCACTTCCAGAACAGTTTGGGGGGACAGCCAGGAGGGGAGCAGTGGCAGGAGCAGGGTGTGCTGGTGGCAGGTGCAGTAGTGTGTTGATGCAGGGCTGGGAGAGCTGCAGGGCTGGGAGAGCTGCAGGGCTGGGAGAGCTGCAGGGCTGGGAGAGCTGCAGGGCTGGGAGAGCTGCAGGGCTGGGAGAGCTGCCGTCCTCGGTTGTGCCTGCGCTGGGTTTGTGGCCATCCCGGCGAGCGATGCCCGCCGCGGGGAAACGGCAGCGACTTCCCTCGGCTGGGACAGGAGCTTCCTCTCCCAGAGCTGCTTTTCTCTGTGTTCACACATTTCTCCTCCTTCTGCTTTTCGCAGGAAGAAAAAATAAGTTTCCTGCTAAGGAAGTTGGTGCCCAGAGCCCCGAGGCAGGCTGGCAGACAATGCCCAGGTGTGCAGACCTGGCTGCTCCTCACTTTGCTCTCACTTCCTCCTCTTCCCGAAAGCCCCACGTCTGGCTCTGGGGGCAGTGGCTGTGGGGAGGGTGGCTCACTGCTGGCCCCAGCCCCATGGCAGGTTTGTGGGGGGGTTCTCCCCTGCTCTCGGTCCCTGGATCAGCGTGAATGTGAATCCTTCATTGATTTAGTTGCCTGTGGACTGCGAAGCTCTTCCCTGGCAGGGGCTGCTCCTGCTTCTTTAGGAATGACTTTGTGACTTCTTCCATGTGAAGTGCTTGGTGACAGAGCGTGTGTCTGAGGGTTCTGTGGCACAGCGTGGCATGTCCTGTTCCGGAAGCTCCAGTGCAATAAATTTCAGGGTTTTCCTTTCTGTTGCATTTCCCCTGGATCTCCTAGCTTAGAGGCCATGTATGACATAGAATCACAGAACAGCTTGGATTACAAGTGACCTCAAAGCCCCTCCAGTCCCACTCCCTACCGTGGGCAGGGACATTTTCCGCATTCCCAGGTTGTTCCCAGCTCTGTCCAACCTGGTGTTGGATACCTCCAGGATCCAGGGATCCAGGGGCAGGCTGGGAGATGGGACAATGCAGCCCGAGTGCCTCACATCCAAGTAATGGAGCTGGGATTTACTGGTGGCTGTAAGGCTTTAAAAACCAGTCCAGGTCAGTAAGGAAACACGTTGGGAACGGGCATGAAGTCACTTGGCAGAGTTTTGGGGTAAAAAAAATTCCAAATTAAATGTCACCAGAGCGCTGCTGGGCTGTGCCTTGCTGGGGGGCAATGGTTGTAGGAGAAATGAGTAATACCCGATCGTGCAGGATAGAGAAGCACCCCAGAAAACCTCCGGGCTCGTGGGGCTGTGAGCGCTCAGAACCAGGAGGTTCTTAAGAATCTGGAGGAAACGACAAAGAAAGGAAGGGGAAAGCAGAGCCGGTTTCGGGAAGCTGCCCCCCCCCCCTGCCAAGCCCCAAGCCACGTTTTATCGTCAGCAGGGAGAGGGGTCGGGCAAAACCACGGCGACCCCGGGGCCTCCCGCGCCGCCTCACTTCTCCTATTTCCCAGCTCAAATAGGGAGAGGGATGGGGGCCGGGGCTGGGGCCGGCATGGCTGTGCGGGCAGCCCTGCTGCTGGGGGTGCTGCTGCTGTCCCACCACCCCGGGGACACAGGTGAGGCTCCCCTGCCCCCACGGCTGGGCTTGGGGGTTGTGGGGGCTGCCAGGCTTTCCGGGTATGGGGATATGGGGTGGGCGATGCGTTGCCCGGGGAGGGTTTTGGGGTTGGCAGCGGCTTTTGAGGTGATGCGTGTGAGCCCCTCCAGCAATCCTGGAAGCCAATGGCAACCTGAGCTGCCGCTGCCTCAAGAGCACCCGAGCCTTCATCCCCCCGGAGAAGTACAGCAGCATCGAGGTGTGGCCCGTGGGGAGCAGCTGCCGGCGCCTCCAGGTGGTGTAAGTGGCTCCCGGGGGTCCGCCCTCCTTCCCTGTTTTTTTTCTTCAGTTTCGTGCTGGTTTTGGTTGCGAGAAGGGAGCCTGCAAAGCGGGGAAGTGGCGCTGCTGAAAGGCCCCGTGTTTTCTAGGATTAAGCTAAAGAGCCTGAAGAGGGTCTGTGTGGATCCTGACACCCCTTGGGTGAAGAAACTCTTGCAGGACCTCCCTCAGCTGTAAGCTCCCCTTTGGCCCTGAGCACCAGGGGCTCCCCGCAGGACCAGGGGCATCCCGTGGGAACCTGTCTTCACACGTTCCTCCCCCTTCTGCTTTTGGCAGGAGGAAGAAAAAGGCTCCCCGCTGAGGAAGCTGCCGCCAGAGACACGGCCAGATGTGCTGGGCCCAAAACTGCCTCTCCTCCCCATCCTGGTGTTGCCTTACCCCGGTCCAGAGGGGAGCATGCTGCTGCCTGAACCCCTTTTTATGCCTTTAAACCCTTTTAAACCCTTACAGATGCCCATCCCTGCTTCCAGCCTCTCCCATCCCGGAGCCACGCGCTGGGTGTCCCTTTCGGGCATGACCCAATAAAGGTGGTGGCCTTCTGTCACTGTCCCTTGCCTGCCTTCATGTGACATGCCAGGGGCTTGGGGTGCCTGGGGAGGGTGGCACGGGGGGCACCAGCCTTTGGCCAAAACCACGGCAGGTTTGATGAGGAGGCCACAGCATTTCCTGCTTTCTTTTTGGTGGGGAGGCAGCACGGGCCACGTGCAGTGCGGGGGGGAAGCGATGGCAGGGAAGTTGAGGTGTGGGGCTGCCCCTTTTTCCACCCCCCCTGGCACTTCCCAGCCCTGGAGGGGGATTGTGAAATCCCCCTCTGGGGCGAGGGGCTGGCTATAAAACAGGCCTGGCCTAGCTCCGGGCGGGCAGCGAGGATGCGGCTGCTGCCGGCGGCGCTGGCCCTGCTCCTGCTCCTGAGCAGCTCGGTGCCGGGGGGTGGTGAGTGCCTTTGGCTGTCTGTCCATCCACATTCCCCTCCAAACACCCAGACAGTGGCACTGGATGTCCCAGACGGGGCTGAGCGTGGCTTCTCGTAAGCTTTCAGATGGGTTTCTTGGCTGCCTTTGAGCTCGAGTTTGTGGCTCAAGCTGGAGGGGAGTACTGGGGGTGCAGAGGGGGGTTTCGCCTCGTGGCTTTAGGCTGCTTTTTCTTTCAGACCCCCGCAAAACTGAAGTGCTTGCTGGGTTGAATTCATGAAATGTTGGTTAAGTTTTCCAAGCCTGCAGCTAAAACCCCTTCCATGTACAGGAAGAGAAGGTCTGAGGCTGTGCTGGGAGGGATTAGCTGCAAACCCCATGAGCAGCAGCCCGTGGGTGTCAGGGATGGGATCCTGGCGAGGGGGTGTCCCCATGTGGCTCCCCCACGGGGGGCCAGACCTGGTGTGGGCTGTCCTGGGGCACAGGTCTGTCTCTGGAGAGCCTGCTGACCAACATGAGGTGCAAGTGCATCAAATCCACCGCCCACGTCATCAACCTGGGGCTGATCCTCACCATCGACGTTACCCCGCCGGGCATTCACTGCCGGAGGAAGGAGGTCGTGTAAGTGCAAAGCCTGGAAACCAACCCCTGCAAATTGTTCCTTTGTGCAAAAGCACGTGGTGGGGGAAGCCCACCAATGGTGGGGTGACTCTCTTCCCAATTGCAAGGGGGTTCCTTCCCTGTGTGGCTCAGGGTGTGAAGGTTGAGGCCCCAAAATTCCACGTCTGTGTAGCCCAGGGATCGTATCCCTGCCGAGGGAGCGGAGGGGTTTTCTCTGTGGGTTAGAAAAGCTTTGGGGAAGGGACGTGCACGGGGCTGAGGGGCCTCCTGGCCTTGCAGCCTCACCCTGAAGAAGAACAGGCGGGTGTGCGTGGCCCCCGAGGCGCCCTGGATCCAGCTGCTCATCCACAAGCTGATGCAGAGGTATGTGATGCCTGACACCTTGGCAGGAGCATCCCTTCCCCCTGACCCCCCCCCCAGATTCCTTTCTTTCCTCCCACAAAATCTGCAGGAACGGCACCAAAAAAGCGTTGCCTCGGCCGCGGCGGGACGCACCGTGCTGCCGGACCCCTTGGAGACCCCCCACCTTCCCACTGTCCCGATCCACGGAATCCACGGTCACCAATTCCTCGTGGGACAGCAGTGACGCAGCCCCCCTGCCCTGAGACACGCTGGGTTTAGTGGCACAACGCTGGCACTTCCTCTGCTCCCTGGGTTTTGGCAGGGCCAGGAGCCTTTCCCTGCTTTCCCTCTGTTTCCCTCCGTTTCGGGTGCCTGCGCTGTTCCCAGGCGCCACCAATAAAAGGATGAATGTGCTTCCCCCCACCCTCGGCTGTGGCAGCTCCTTCTGCCCGGATTTGTGTCCAAATTGGGATTTTTGCGGTGGGGAGTTAGGCTGGACTGCGGCACCGTGAAGCCTTTGGTTGATTTGCCAAGCGCGCTTTCCTCTGCTCCAGGATTTGGTGCCTTTTTCTGACAGCTCCTGGCAGGAGCTGGTAATTGCAGGTGTTGGATAGGGTCTGCTGCTGGCTCCTGGCTGTGGGAACACAGAATGGGAAATTTCCCAGAGTCTGGCTGAGGCTTTCTGTGGAGTTGCATTTTCCTGGGATGGGGACCCCAGCCTGGCGCAGGAATGTGCCTTGGCCACGCGGACCGAGGTGACGCGGGTGTGACTTGTGACCCTGTGCAGGATTATCCCCGTTTACAATCTGGTTTGGCCGTTCTGGGAGGAGGATTTTAACGTCCATAGGAACCAAATTTGTGTTGCCCACCCACTGGATGCCCAAAATGTGTCCCTGGGCAGTGGCAAACTGGGAAACACCCACCCAGTCCCTGTATCCCCCTCCGTCCTGCCCTGTGCTCCTGAGGGGTAAGACTTGTTCAGAAGAGCTATTTGTTGACTCCAGAAGGACGTGGAAGTACACAGGTGGGAAGAAACCGGTGGATGTTTAGCCCTGTCCATCATGTGGGTGAGCTCTCCCATCTCCATGGTGGGCAAATTAAAAAAAAAGTAGTTTTTAAGGGGAAGAAAAATGTAGCAGTTCAGGGGTTTGATGACCTCCCTTTCCCCAGCTGCCCGAAGGTCCAGGGCAAGCGGTGTTTCCTCATCCCAGAGCTCAGCACGCTCTCAAAATTCGAGCAAAGCTGCCACTCCCATGGGGCAGGGCGTAAATCCCCCTGAAACTGTAGCGTAAGCACGGCCGGGAGTGACACGCTGCAGCTGCCCCTGCTCCACGTGCACTTCCATCTTTTCAGGGACGGGACACGGGAAAGAAATCTGTCTCAAAAAAAACCCCGAGCTCTCAAAGCAACCGCTGTGAGATGGTGTGGGAGCCTCCAAAGAGGCTGGATGAGCCCCAGGATTGCTCTCACCTTCACCATTCCCACAGGGAGGGGTTGTGCCATACCTGGATCTAGATGTTTATAATCTCCACCTAAAGTTATTTCTAATTAAAGTGAGTTCTTGGCTGATGCTTGGCACGGAGGATTAAGATGTGAGTGGTTCCCACCAGGTTCTCTTGGGATCTGCATCACCTTGGAACACCGAAGGGTGAGGAGGAGGAGGGTTCAGTCTCCTTACAGTGAAAGAAGGAAGCGAAAATATTCAGCTACATTGTACAAAATTCTCTTTTTTATATATATATATGTATATATATACACACACACAAAACCCCGTATCGGACAGATTCACCAGGTTGTTTTAAAAAGTTGCTTGTAGAAGGGTGCTGGATTTTGTTTTCTCTGCTGGCTTTAGGCAGTGCTGTCGCTCAGGAGTGGACACCAGGCACCACGTTTTGGGAAGCAAACAGAGGCAGTGAGGAGCAGGGAAGGGCCTGGAGCCTTTTTTCCAGGTATTGCCTTCAACATGCTGGGAAAGGAGGCTGGGAAAAAAAGCACCATCCCCTCACTGCTCCTGCTGGGAAGGGAAAACCAGGAGGAAAACAGGAGGGAGCCGCACAGGGAGAGGCAGGTGAACATGTACATTGACTGAAACATAAACAAAACTGTTTTTTTTTTTTGGTGTGCAATGTCTGTTAAAGTAACATTATTGTGTTCAAAGCCACACGGTGTGACGAGCGTCGGGAAGTGCAGCAGAGAAAATCCGATGGAACACTTCCACCGCTAGAAACCGAAGGAAAATCCAGCTGGAGCAGCTTACAACGTTTGCCAAGGTCTGGGTTTTCCCCGTCCCAGTCCTCTCCCACCCCCATATTACAAAACATTGGTGCTGGGTTTGGATTTTTATTACTAAATGGGCTCCTCTGCAGTTCATAGACAATCACGGGCGAATTGGAAATTCCATTTTATACAAACAGCTCAAAAAAATATTGGGAGTGAAGTATGGTTAGGAAACACTGCTCATCACGCTGGGATGGCCGTGCGTGGAGGAGGAACAGGAGGAGCAGCCTCAGGAGCGCAGCATCCACCCCCCTCCTCCCCAAAAAACATACAGCAGCTGAATACAGAAAGGTAATGTCCACAAAATGAAGTTTTTCATGCTATTCTACTTTCCAGTGCTCTCCAGTCCGTGTGCCATGGCCAGGTAGGGAGCGCTGAGGTATATTCCAACCTGCACCCAGAGGAAAATCCATCTCTGGAAAAAGGGCTTCCTTTTTTTCCCCCCCCCCAATTCTTTTTTTTTTTTTTTTCATTTGGGTTGGTTTTTGCACAAAGCAAGTGCTGCACAGGAATTTCCCCCAGCTCCCATCGCTTCCAATTTGATCCATAGATGACACCTCCATTTTTTAGGCACTTTTCCAAGGGAGTTGTCACTTTGCTGAACCCATTTTTGCGTTCTGGCCCGCTCCACCCCCTCCCTGGCCCCCACTCACAGTCAGGAAATAGTTTTTCCTCTAAGTCAAATTGATTTTTTTTTCCCCCCCCCCCCCCCACCCCCCATGGAAAATTTCCTGTGTATAAAATGACAAAGGAAATATTTAATTAAAGAGGAACAGCCTGACTTGGCAGTTTTGCAGGACAGAGGATGGCTCTTTAGTATTTAAAACCAATTTCACAATTCAAATTGGACTTTTTTTGAAGTATACGAATGAGACATAAATATAGGCTTATCAATCTGCTTAAAAATTTCAATCACATCATGGAAAATGTTTTTCATTTATTAAAAATATCACATTTGGAGACTAGAAACAGTAAAGTGCATGAAAAGTTTCAAATAGAAATTCAAGAAAATCTTATAGCAGCAAAAAAGCAGAATAAAGAAAAACTTAAAAACACAGACACGACCTTTTCCTATCACTGTGCCTTGTTTTTTAAACATTAAGCAGCCAAACAGGTTTGGGTTTTTTTTGTTGTTGTTTTTTTTTGTTTGTTTTTGTTTTTTTCAGAAAATTGCATCATGTTTAATGCCTCTCGAGGCACAAGGTTTTGAACTGGCCACCCAGAGCATGAAAAGGAAAGAAAACAAGGATTTCCAACACATCCAAAGAGCATCAACATTTGGGAAGGAACCAGCAGTTTTTTTACTTCAGCCCTGACTGACAACAGCTCCCAAACAAATTGGAATCAGGAGGATTTAGAGCTCAAATTTGATCACAGATGCTTGGCTATCTTTGGTTTTCTGATAGTATTGAGATGAGGGGCAGGGCCATGCTGCCAATCATTTATAGTCAGGTATTAAGTGCTTTGCTAATGTGCAAAATTTATATTGGATGCAGAGTTGAGTCTCCGTTCCGGATTCAAACAAACAGTATTTCTAATAATATTCTTCCTACAAAACAAGCATCTCTAGCTTTGTTCTTCTTTCTCCTAAAAGTTTGGCTCAATTTGCCACGTTCTGGAAAAAAGCATTACCTTGAAATATGTTAAATGCAAGTTTTCAAACCTCTTTTGTCCGTTTAGAAGTGCAGCTTCCTACTGAAAAGAAAAAGCCAGTTTAAAGTAAAAAAAAAAACCAACCAACCAAACAAACAACAACCAAAAAAAAAACCCAAACACAAACAAAAATTAAATTAAAAACCTGGAAAGGGGAATAATACTTTGGTTCCAGCCCTAGTGCCAAATAATACCGATATGCACCAAAATGTGCAAAAATCTCATATCAAACACATAAGGAAAAGGAGCTCGAAGAAGCAGCTGCAGGTTGGCCATACTTCACTCCTATCTAGTGGGATTTACAAGTGTACAGGTCCGTGAGGCAGGTCCGAGGCGCCCTGGGGCTGCACTACCTGCGGGAGGGCAGGTGCACGCCGTTCACCAGCGGCAGCAGCGGCGGGTGCAGCTCCAGCTGCGTCAGCAGCGAGAAGTGGTCGGAGGGGATGTGCGGGTGAGGGCAGCCCGTGATGTTGTTGTCCACCAGCCACTGAGGGTCCAAAGGCCCCAGGACTCCGAGCACGTTCATGTGGGTGTTGGAGTAGAAAATGTAGTCAATCACACCCTGCGAAGAGAGAGGGAGAGAGCGCAGTGAGGGCAGGGCCCGGCCGGCCGGAGGCGCCGCGCCCGCTGCGTGCGCCCTCCTAAACCCGAGCTCAGGGAACTGACACGGCAGAGGCAGCTGACTCCCAGAGAGCAGAGCTTACTTTGAAGTCAAAAGTGTAATTGGTGTAAGGCATCAGGTTGTTCTCGTAGGCGCTCTTGAGCTGGAAGCCGTGCGTGATCCTGCCCTCCGAGGCTCCGTTCTTCCCGTTGCCGCTGAAGTTCATCAGACACTCGTTGTAGCGCAGCTCCTTGAAGTCCTTGTGGTTGTCAGCTACTATGCCGTTGCTCAGGTACTCCACTACACCTGTTGGCGAGGGGAGGGGTTCAGATTGTTGCTTTGAAGGACAGCTTTGGCCCGGGGATGTTAAAAAGCGGAACGCCACCGAGGCGCCGTGAGATGAGAACTGGCAAAGCGAACCCCTTTCCTTGGAAAGTCTTCATCGGGAACTCGCATCTTTCCTACTTCTTATCGCTGCTTCGGGCACGAGCGTTTATTTAATGGTTTATTTAACATCTAACTGTGCTTTTCTGTCCTTTTGTAGGTGCAGCCAGCTCTCCCTCCTGTTCACGCTGGGCAAGAAAAGCAGGCCCCTCAACCGGAGCACTAGCGGTCTCTTCAGGGCAGCTGTTCCTAGGAAACCTTTTACTCATACCTTCCCCGGGGAGTGCAGAACAACCTCATTGCCTTCAGAGGAGAAAGTGGACTCGAAAGTTGTAAGGTAAGTTAAAAAGCAGGCCAAAAAAAACCAGCCTTACCTGAATCAGGCAGCGAGTTGAGATCCGCACACAGCACCAGAGGGATAGAGTTGGGATCTGCTGTTGGGCTACTGGGCCTGCTTGAGGCTTTCTCCAGGATGTTTTTCAGCTCTGAGACGAACATCATGGTCTGGATGAGTTTCACATCTGAGTATTCGGGGTCCCAGTGCATGTGGGCATTGGCCACGATGAGCAGCTGCTTGTCCACGTGAAGCGATTTCATACCTGGGTAAACAATTTTAGCGGTGAGAGGTTCTGTGAATGCAGCGCGTTCCCGCTTGCTCATACTCGGGGTGCAGCTCCTCAGGGTCAGACACACCAGCAGATGGGTGTGTTTTCATGGCTTAAACCTGCTGAAATGCCTGTGAACAGCCCAGGAAGCTCCTTCCAGCCCTGGAATTTCTCCTCCTCTGAAGCCATGAAAACCCCAGCCAGGCAGGCAGAGCAGGGTGGCAGTTTTAGCTGGGTTTGGAACTGTCTGCTGCATCTGATCAAACCTGATGAAAATGTGGCAGTCAGTCAATCAAGAGGCAGGAAAAGAGACCCGATCATCTCCTCCTTCCACACCAGTACATGAGCACTGACATCTAATCACTGGGGGAAGGTGGAAGGAGTCAATCCAGGGGAGGAAAAGAGAGTTGAAAACAGAAGATGAACACTGTTGACAACTACAGGTAAGAGCAGATGTGTGTAAACACCGTGACCTTGGCTTAGGTTGAGCTGCTCAAGCAGAATGTAACAGTGTAAGTAAGCAGGGATAAAAGCTTGAAAGGAGAAAAGCAAATGCTGGGTGAGCACAACCAGACCATCCGTGCCTGTCTGGGCCACCCAGGGGCTGCGTTGGACTGCGCCACCAACAGGCACAGCGTGGGTTACCTAGGAATAAATCACACCTGCCGGTGGAGCTGAGGAGCGCTGCGGACACCACAGTCGTACTCACTTGCTCCGAACAACTCCTTGTGCACCTCCAACACCACGGCGACTCCGATGTTGTCCTTGGTCATCACTCTGTTCAACATGGCTTCCGAGCCCTCCGAGTTGGCCATGGCCACCTGGTTGAACTCCACCGTGTGCTTCTGCACCAGCGTGAACCTGGGCAGCGGGGAGAGAGCCACGGTGAGCAGCTGTGAGCGCGGCCCCCGTGGCACCGTCCCCATCTGAAAACCATCCCCGTCTGCTCCCACAGGCTCCCTCTCTTCCAAACCGCTCCAGCTGCTTCTAGACACTGCCCAAGAGCTGCATTTTTCTTTCTGGAAGCAGCACAAACTCTTGAGAGGCAGCTGAGGCTTTGGGAAACTTCCATCCTAATTACTGGAAGCTGTCCTGAGGTTTTAGTGTAAAGTTTGAAAGCTGCTGCCGCCCCTTACTTGTCCGTTTTGAAGAATATCGCGCAGCCGTCCACGTGCTTTTTCTCCTGCTCGGACATGATTTTGGCACGTGACTTTGGAGAAAAGAATCCGTCGTATCCCCGTTCTTTCAAGGCTGGCAGGAAAAGGGTGAAGTATTGCTCCGTTTCCACTTCCTGGAATTGTACACAAACACCTCAGGCTAAAGAAGTGAAGGAAGCCCTTCCTTGTGCCTGCCCTGGCTCGCGCTCGGAAAAGCTGCACAGTCCATGTCAGTGCCCAGACTGCTGGGAACTGATGTGCATTCCTGGATTTCCTGGAATCTCTCCCAAAGGCCAAGTGACAGGTGTGTTTTGAACAGCAGTAAACCACACCTGATATGTTTGACACTGGAATACAGCTACAGAGCTTGCATTGGGAAGACCTGCAATGTGCTACCGAGCAGGTGACTACGGTGTTCCCGAGGGAACAGTTAATCCTCAAGGTTTTCTGTTTCTGATGGAAGATGCAGTTATTTTTAATTACCTGAAGACTAATGATATCTGCATCACAGTTGACGATTTCTTCCATGATTCCCTTTTTCCTGTACTCCCAATTGAGTGCCCAGGATGGGCAGTAGCCATAGAGCTGCCGGGTGGCGTATTTATCACACAACACATTGTAACACATAACTGTAAATGAAGCTGCGAGGAGAGACAGAGAAAGAAAGGAAAAGGTTGTCAGCCTCTGGAGATTGTCTCTGGCTTGGACAAGAGTGGCTGGAAGAGCTGTGACAAAGCCCAGCATGGACAAGAAATGCCCAGCATCCCGTTCAAATGAGAAAAATGGTATTGACAGCACAGCCGTATGTTGATTTTTCTATTAGTACAAATGAACAAATTGCTGTTTTCACCCTGATCCTGGAAAACAAAGCCCAAGACAAGTTTCCCAGCGTGTCACCTTGTGAACACAGATTTACCTGAGGGCAGAATTTGGTCTCGTTCTTTTAAAGTAATCCATGGCCTTGGAGGCAGCTGCTCTGGATGAACTAGAAAAAAAATTAAACCAGTGATTAATTCAGAGTTTCCATTTGGAAGTTAAAACTTCTAAATCAAAGTGTGATGACTGAACAATAACGTGTTTTGCATCCCCAACTCCCTGAGTCTTCAGGGGAGGCAAAAATAATTTAAATGAGTAGCTCTAGTAGGAGCGAAAACTGTCATTTTTAAGATTCCTAACTACTTTTGTCTCTTGTTTTGGGATTTAGAAGCACCACCGAAATACTCCCGCACGTTGAACAATCTGCTGAAGAAGGAGGGGTAAATCCTGGCATGGCTCAGCCATCCCTACTCCAAGGACCTCGCCCTGCTTCCCTCGTTCCTGCAGTGCCTTAACTTGGGAGACAGCGAGTGGCAAAGCAGAAGGCTCAGTCACAGAACCACAAAGCAGGACTGAAGTCAGGTACTGGATGTTCTTAATGCTGTTTTTTGAGCTAAATTTGATGTTCTGCTTGCATTCAAATGATTATTTCTGGTGGGGAGAAAAAAAATGGCTTCGGCAAGGCAGACTTTGCCCTTGGCTGGTAATTGAAGGGTTTCAAAGAGAACAGAGAGAACATTTGGTTGTAACACAGGAGAACCTTAGACAGTACATATCAGCCTCTTCCACTGGGGGTGAGGCTGTGTTTTGGGATGTGACTGGAGCCACCTGACAAAAACACTAAAGCAGTGAGGAAATACTGTCCCTCCAGGGAGTCAGAGTCTTGCTTTAGCAGCAAATCCTACTTTCAAAGGCTTTTGTGCCCACCAGATCCGTAGGGCTGTACCTGCTAGATTGTCAAGCATGTAGTTCAGTAGCTTTCGGGTTCCGTCTGGATCCTGGTAGAGGCTGAGAATATCTTGGGATAAAGGATTGCCTGCCAACAGCACAAAACAACAGCGGGGGGATCAGCTGCCTGCCTTTCTTGAGGCTTTCCACCCAAAGGAAATCTCCCAGAATGAGAACAGACAAATTAATTCAGCAGGTTCAAGGGTTTATTTCCCTGACTGCAGATTTGAAACGAGCTCCTAAGGAAGTTTAGCAGCATTAAGAAAGACAAGCATTGTTTTCCCAACTGCCTGGTCATTTTTGCTACCAACTTAATGCTTTAAAATAACCTGCAAGAAAACCTTGAGGTAATAGAGGAAGGTTTTGAGCCCAGCCCCCCTCAGGATTCCTGAGAATTCGTAGGAATATGGAACTGGAAAGAGCTCACCTTTCAAACCCAGGGTTTGCAGCTGGAAGAGCCGTCCAAGTTCATAAGGCAAAACCCGTAACAGATTGTTATTTAAAAGCAATTCCCTGCAGCAAATGCAAAAACACTCTGGGTGAGCATTATTGCAGAAGAAACTCCTGAAGTGCTCCTTAAAGAGAACACTTTTCACCCTGAATTTTATTATGGGAAGATATGCCAATCTTCCCGTGTCAAAGCACGACTGAAATACATGCACTGGGGGGAAAAGAGGCACAAAACCCAAGATGAAACCAGGGATCAAAACAGTGTTATATCAACAACCAGAAAAAAAAGCCCAGTGAACCCAAAAGTAATTATCAGCAGCAAAGCTCTGCACCAACCTGGAGTTTTTCAGCATTATTCGAAATACAAGCGCAGGAAACAAACTGAAACTCTCGTTCCTGATCCCACCACAGAGAATTTTTTGGGAAGTCAAGCACAGTAATTCCCCTCACCTGAGAGACACCATGTTTCCTAGTTCTGCTGGTAAACTTCTGAGTTTGTTGGATGACAGATCCAGGTAAACCAGATTGTGAAGCTTGGCAATATCAGGTGGAATGCGAGTAAGGTTGTTGTCATTGAGGTGCAGAGCAGTCAGGTGTGTCAGCGACCACAGCGACGTACTTAAGCTCCGCACTCTCCCTGAAAGAGGAAAGCAAGGATCCACCTCTTGACTCTGGAACCACCGGACACAAAGTGGATCTGGAGCAGTCTGGGGCACCAGCTAGGGGAATTTAAACCCCAACCAACTCACCCGAGATCTCTAATTCAGCCCAGTGCGACTTCTTCCCGTTGGCCACCTCTTCCGCTGACATGATGGTGTAAATTCTGCGAGGATCTGGAGGATCATATTTTTCCTTTGGCATCCCTGTTAGTCTGAAAGACCATCACAACTGTTACTCCACAGCATTCCTTCGTTTCTACCCCACCACGAGCTGACCTTTGCCAGGGACACCCCGCAGCGACGCGTCCCGGAGTTTTACGCGCAATAAATACTGGGCTGCCAAGCAGATGCTCACACCTGGGCAGAATTCCGGGATGGAAAAGAGCATTTCTTCCTAGGAAGTTGGGGTTTCTGCAGTCACCTGCTGGCTTTCCCACTTTATCCCCCACAACCCACGGAGCTGTTTGCCGTGTGCAGAACCTGCAGACAAGATCAGGGTGTTCCGCTGTTCCTGGATTGCTCTCTCCCGTAGTTTGCACAGGGAACCAAGGATTGAAGGGAAGGCTTTTAATTTCAGCATACAAAGTCCCACTTCTCCACTGCACTTATACAAGGCTTGAAATTGCAGTCTGAGAGGGAATTAGCTCTATTTTCCCATTAACTATCCAGCTTTTGTGTTTTGTGCTTTTTCATGCTCGGAATCAGTCAAGACCTTTGTATTCCTCATGGCCCCGGAGCCATAAAAAGAGATCAGGTAAAGTTCCCATTTAGCTGTTCTGGGGCACGAAGGGCTCCAGCCCAGTGCAAGATGTCAATATCAGAAGCCTAAGGATGAGCCTGCACACACCAAATTCATCCAATTGTCCTGACTGCCAGAAAGGAGCTCTGATGTCCCATTCAAAAACCATCCACTTGCCAGGGGACACAAGGAGAGATGTTATTCCATGCCTCCCTAGGCTGTTGTGCTGAGCAGGACTGTGTGTGATTTAAAAACACCAGGTTACCCGAGTTTGCTGTTGGCCGGTCTTTTCCTCCCCAGACACACAAATCCACAAGCCTTGATTTTATACAAATCCAAAGCAGCTGCTCCAGAGGATGCAGCTCTTCCCTCATACAGACATCTCTCCCAGAGCCAGCTGTTCAAGCTGACCTAACTTGAATTTGAGGTAACAAGCTGAGGGTTTTGTTCAGTGAGTCCAACTAACCCAAGATCCCACTTTCCCTTTACGAGGGTCGCGTCCATCCTGCAGAGTTTTCCAGCTGATGCCGACAGCCAGCCCGGCGTCCCAGCAGGGTGCCGGAGCTGTCAGGGCTGTCCCCTGCCAAGGGTCTCAGTTACAGGGCTGCTGCTTCCTCCTCTGATGAAGGCCCAAGGAAAATGCAAATGGGAGCCCCACATCTAATTATAGACCCCTGTTATTTCCAGGTGAAGTCACACGGTGAGCAGAGCTATGGGATAAGAGGATTCTGTGCTCACACTGCCTGGCATGGGGCCACGAAGGGAACCAGTTACTTAAGGACAAGGGATTAGACCTGAAATCCTTCCATCTTTGTTCCAGAACCCCAAAATCAGAACGGCCTTCCCCTCCCCTCACACGAGCAGGCTGCGCTTTGGGAGTGCCAAGTCTCCGGCGTTTGGATTTTGCTGGGTTTGTCTTGGCTCTTCAAGTGCTGGTGTGAAAGTGGGGAGTGCTTGAACAGACTCCTCACAGCCCCTGCCAGGCCACAGGAGCCCCATTCCACCTGCCCTTGCTGTTTTTAACCTGTCAGATCTTCAACTGAGCTGTACCTCTACGGCACCTGCACCCAAAGCACGGCAAACTTTGCTGTTCAGAACCCAGGATTTGGGTGAGTGCTCTGTGATGAAGCCCTTCAAACCGTGGTGCTGAGATCACCTGAACCACCCCCCGCCCACCCACACCAGCCCCCAGATGACCACTGACCCCCTGACACCATCTGAAAGCTCCAGGATTGCTCCTGAAATGATGTCAGAATACGGCTTGTTAAAGACAAGTGCTCTGCCCGTGTCAGGGGCCTTCCAGAGAAGTGAGCCCTGAGCTGGGAGGCAAAGGACACGCACATTTTTCAGCCCTTAGTCACTTTAATATTGCTTTGAAATAGTGGTGAGTCAAACAGGCAGCAAGCAGTGTCATTGCCACAGTTACAGAAAGGAGAAAACAAACCTAAATCAAATGCACTTTTATGTTTTTTCTCCTTCTGCATCACAGCAACATTGAGCAAGTTTTGAAAGTCACCGTGTGTATCTTTTTTTTCTCAGCCAAAAAATGAATTCTGCTTGGGTTCCCAACTCCTGCCGTTCCTATCTCCCACTCTGCTTGTCCTGGAACTAAAATAATATCCAGAAATCCCAACCTGTTCTTGCTCAGTCTTGAGGCAGCTACATGGAGCTCCCTGAATCAGTTAACCCCAAAATCCAACGTGCATCAGTGCAAATTTTGGCAGGCTTTTCTCCTAAAGGCTCCCCTTGGAAAACTTCTGAAGCTACTAAAACTTGTTCTCTGCTACAGATCCAACCCTGTAAACTTAAAATAGTGTGACCCTTATTTCTTGTAAATGAAACACAAAATCTCTTCTTGTTTTTGTGTAAAGAAAACCTCAAGATGAGGACATCAGTGTGTTACTAAGAACAGTATTTTGAGCTCTGGGGATTCCTAAAGTAACTCTTTGGGTCCAAGTCCATCCCCAAAAACCCAGAGATGACTGGCAGAGTAGGATTACTCAGTTGGAACCTTAGGTGTGGTCCTGGGTGAGCCAAAGCAGCTCTCTGGGGTGGCTGTAAGCAGGGGCTCTGTGCCTGCCTTTTCCTTGGACTTTTGGGGTTTTACACTATTTTATTTGCTGTTTTTTTTTTTTTTTGCTGACTGCCCTTTAAAGCCTGGAAAAAAACCAGATGAATAATGGAACACTACTGAAGGTGTGAAGAGTGTCAGAGAGGAAAAGTCCAGCTATTGGGTTGCAGCAGAGGCTTTTACTAGGAAGAAATGGGTTTTTTTGAGCAACAAACAACAGGAACTTCTGGGTTTCAAACACACAGCCCCTTCCCCAAGAGAAGATGCATTTCTAACTTACAGTGACCATAAGATGTTTTAAGTTCTTTCACACTTCAATGCATAAATGAGTTGTCAAATGGAGAAGAGCTGTGCCTGAATCCTGCTGCAGCCCTGTGTTCATGGATGTTTGGCACGGTTCCAAACCCTCCCCTTCAGCCCAGTGACATTCTTTGCGATTATTCTTTTTTTTTTCCCCTCAGCCTCTGTATGTGGATGAGTCAAACCGCCAAAGCATTTTGGAAACAATCCAGCAGCCAGCCCTGAGTGGCTCCTCCTTCCTCTGAGCACAGCTGACCGTCCATCCCTTTCCATATGGTGATGCCTGCCAGGAATCAGCGCTGCTGTTGGCTCGACGGGGCACGCGCGTGTGTACGCACACGTTGTTGTCCGGCGTTGGGAAGTCGGGCTGAAAGCTGGGGAATGGCCCCATTTTTATCTCTCCATCTAAATGTCTATTTATGTGTCTTGTAATCGGGCCTGAGTGGCTGCAAAGGGCGGGAGAGGAAGGCTGCTCCTCTGCGCCGCTCTGCTTTTCGGGGAGCGTGGCAAAAGTCTCCCCGTTTCGGCCTCCCCAGGGAGAAGAGAAGCGTGGCCAACGCTCACAAACAGAAAAACTGGCTTGGAGTAGTCTGGGGGGAGGAAAATCAGGTGATTGCTCAAGGGGGTGTTAAGGGGATTTAAAGGAAGGTGCCAAGACTGGGGGGATGTACAGATATGTTAGCTTAAGGTAAACTATTTGCTATATCCCTATACACAGGATCTAGTGTGTATAAATCAGCAAGAAAATGTTGGAGAGTGGGGAATTCTGATGGGATCTGAGCTTTTTCCATGGTGCTTTCCTGCAGGAATATGTCCAACCACCTCTGTGTACACTGCCTCTCCCAAGAATTCAATGAGCATCCCCGAGTCTGCCAGCCCAGGTACTGTGTCTTTCCAGCTTCTTATTCCAAGTACCCTGACTGGGGATAGAGATTAGCAGGGAATCAAATATAAATGACTCATTTTAATAAAAAAAACCCCACCCAAACAATTAAAAAACAATGTTTGAGGAGATTGGAAAGAACCCCCGAGGAAAGGCTGACACAGAGCACAAGGAAATTTGAGTTGGGAATAGGGAAAGGTAAGAGGTAACAGTGAAGCTGCAGCTGTAAATTCAGTGGTGCTGGGGTCCCAGGGGGCTCCACCTTATCTCTTTGAGCCCAGAGAAGCACAGACAAATCACAGAAGCAAACAGCAAAAGCCAAGGGGAGGAGTGGGAAGGGAGGGAACGAGCTGCATTTGATTAATTCCAGAGCCAACTGGCACTCGCTTGATGGAAATGCTAATTTTCCCCCTGACATACACCCACTAGTCATTCCCCTCATCTCCTCTAAATGAAGCAGTCTTTTCTTAAACCACAGGTAGTAACACAAGAATATCCAGGTTTCCACCCTTCCTTTTCCTCTGTGTCACACCCCCACTTACAGGACCAGCTGAACTATTTACTGCGTGGAAATGCTACACAGCTGCTTTTTATTGCTGTGCTTGGTTAAGAGTCAGCCCTCACTCCAAAGGAACACTTCCTGCCCCGCTGGAAGCAGCCTGGGACAACTCCTGAATATCCACACCAGGTCACTGAGCGATACCTGCAGGTGCTTTTTACACTTTGTGCTCCCAAAGCAGCTCTTGGGGCTGCCTCACACGCAAACACAGGGCAGGCTGCTCCCCAAAATAAAGCTCTTTCTTACCAGAAACGCATGTGAGGGGCTACTGTAGAGGCAGAAGCGTTTCCAGCAGCCAGCCTGTAAATAAATGTCATCAGAAGCCCCTAAAGGGCTGGTTTAAACTGTGTGCTTATTTATTTACACAAGTATCTTGCACTGTTTCAGAGAAATGACCCATTTGCAGTGTTGCTGTATCCCCTGGAGAGTGCTGGGCTTCTAATGAGATCCAGGACAGAGTGGCTTAAAGGATTAGGAGCTGAAGTCACCGGGAGTCTGGGGAAGGAAGAAGCCGGCACTGGATCAAGACAGGTCCTGGGCTGTGGGGATGGAAGAGAAGCAGCCAGGGATGGCTGCAGCTTAAAGCAGAAGGTTTCCCTAGGTCTGGGCAGGCAGAAAACTCCCACCAGCAGGAGCAGAGGGAGCGGGCAGTGCCGTGGAGTGCCCCGAGCCGTGAGGGCTGACAAGGCTCATCTGACACCCATTCAGTCACTCCTCAGAAATGATCAACATCTTCCTCAGGCTGCTGCTGTGAGCCAGCACCGTGCCTCATTCAACTCCTCAGGATCAATACCTGGAGAGAAGTCAGCTATTGACCTGTTCTTTGGGCAAAACTGCACGGGAATTACCAATCCATGCACGCTGCA